CTTGTTTCTCCACACCCTTGTTTCTCCACACCCTTGTTTCTCCACACCCTTGTTTCTCCACACCCTTGTTTCTCCACACCCTTGTTTCTCCACACCCTTGTTTCTCCACACCCTTGTTTCTCCACACCCTTGTTTCTCCACACCCTTGTTCTCCACACCCTTGTTTCTCCACACCCTTGTTTCTCCACACCCTTGTTTCTCCACACCCTTGTTTCTCCACACCCTTGTTTCTCCACACCTTGTTTCTCCACACCCCTTGTTTCTCCACACCCTTGTTTCTCCACACCCTTGTTTCTCCACACCCTTGTTTCATCCACACCCTTGTTTCTCCACACCCCTTGTTTCTCCACACCCTTGTTCTCCACACCCTTGTTTCTCCACACCCTTGTTCTCCACACCCTTGTTTCTCCAACCCTTGTTTCTCACACCCTTGTTTCTCCACACCCCTTGTTCTCCACACCCTTGTTTCTCCACCACCCTTGTTTCTCCACACCCTTGTTTCTCCACACCCTTGTTTCTCCACACCCTTGTTTCTCCAACACCCTTGTTTCTCCACACCCTTGTTTCTCCACCACCCTTGTTTCTCCACACCTTGTTTCTCCACACCCTTGTTTCTCCACACCCTTGTTTCTCCACACCCTTGTTTCTCCACACCCTTGTTTTCTCCACACCCTTGTTTCTCCACACCCTTGTTTCTCCACACCCTTGTTTCTCCACACCCTTGTTTCTCCACACCCTTGTTTCTCCACACCTCGTTGTTTCTCCACACCCTTGTTTCTCCACACCCTTTTTCTCCACACCCTTGTTTCTCCACACCCTTGTTTCTCCCACCACCCTTGTTTCTCACACCCTTGTTTCTCCACACCCTTGTTTCTCCACACCCTGTTTCTCCACACCCTTGTTTCTCCACACCCTTGTTTCTCCACACCCTTGTTTCTCCACACCCTTGTTTCTCCACACCCTTGTTTCTCCACACCCTTGTTTCTCCACACCCTTGTTTCTCCACACCCTTGTTTCTCCACACCCTTGTTTCTCCACACCCTTGTTTCTCCACACCCTTGTTTCTCCACACCCTTGTTTCTCCACACCCTTGTTTCTCCACACCCTTGTTTCTCCACACCCTTGTTTCTCCACACCCTTGTTTCTCCACACCCTTGTTTCTCCACACCCTTGTTTCTCCACACCCTTGTTTCTCCACACCCTTGTTTCTCCACACCCTTGTTTCTCCACACCCTTGTTTCTCCACACCCTTGTTTCTCCACACCCTTGTTTCTCCACACCCTTGTTTCTCCACACCCTTGTTTCTCCACACCCTTGTTTCTCCACACCCTTGTTTCTCCACACCCTTGTTTCTCCACACCCTTGTTTCTCCACACCCTTGTTTCTCCACACCCTTGTTTCTCCACACCCTTGTTTCTCCACACCCTTGTTTCTCCACACCCTTGTTTCTCCACACCCTTGTTTCTCCACACCCTTGTTTCTCCACACCCTTGTTTCTCCACACCCTTGTTTCTCCACACCTTGTTTCTCCACACCCTTGTTTCTCCACACCCTTGTTTCTCCACACCCTTGTTTCTCCACACCCTTGTTTCTCCACACCCTTGTTTCTCCACACCCTTGTTTCTCCACACCCTTGTTTCTCCACACCCTTGTTTCTCCACACCCTTGTTTCTCCACACCCTTGTTTTCTCCACACCCTTGTTTCTCCACACCCTTGTTTCTCCACACCCTTGTTTTCTCCACACCCTTGTTTCTCCACACCCTTGTTTCTCCACACCCTTGTTTCTCCACACCCTTGTTTCTCCACACCCTTGTTTCTCCACACCCTTGTTTCTCCACACCCTTGTTTCTCCACACCCTTGTTTCTCCACACCCTTGTTTCTCACACCCTTGTTTCTCCACACCCTTGTTTCTCCACACCCTTGTTTCTCCACACCCTTGTTTCTCCACACCCTTGTTTCTCCCACACCCTTGTTTCTCCACACCCTTGTTTCTCCACACCCTTGTTTCTCCACACCCTTGTTTCTCCACACCCTTGTTTCTCCACACCCTTGTTTCTCCACACCCTTTGTTTCTCCACACCCTTGTTTCTCCACACCCTTGTTTCTCCACACCCTTGTTTCTCCACACCCTTGTTTCTCCCACCTTGTTTCTCCACACCCTTGTTTTCTCCACACCCTTGTTTCTCCACACCCTTGTTTCTCCACACCCTGTTTCTCCACACCCTTGTTCTCACACCCTTGTTTTCTCCACACCCTTGTTTCTCCACACCCTTGTTTCTCCACACCCTTGTTTCTCCACACCCTTGTTTCTCCACACCCTTGTTTCTCCACACCCTTGTTTCTCCACACCCTGTTTTCTCCACACCCTTGTTTCTCCAACACCCTTGTTTCTCCACACCCTTGTTTCTCCACACCCTTGTTTCTCCACACCCTTGTTTCTCCACACCCTTGTTCTCCACACCCTTGTTTCTCCACACCCCTTGTTTCTCCACACCCTTGTTTTCGTCCCACACCCTTGTTTCTCCACACCCTTGTTTCTCCACACCCTTGTTTCTCCACACCTTGTTTCTCCACACCCTGTTTCTCCACACCCTTGTTTCTCCACACCCTTGTTTCTCCACACCCTTGTTTCTCCACACCCTTGTTTCTCCACACCCTTGTTTCTCCACACCCTGCTTTCTCCACACCCTTGTTTCTCCACACCCTTGTTTCTCCACACCCTTGTTTCTCCACACCCTTGTTTCTCCACACCCTTGTTTCTCCACACCCTTGTTTCTCCACACCCTTGTTTCTCCACACCCTTGTTTCTCCACACCCTTGTTTCTCCACACCCTTTGTTTCTCCACACCCTTGTTTCTCCACACCCTTGTTTCTCCACACCCTTGTTTCTCCACACCCTTGTTTCTCCACACCCTTGTTTCTCCACACCCTTGTTTCTCCACACCCTTGTTTCTCCACACCCTTGTTTTCTCCACACCCTTGTTTCTCCACACCCTTGTTTCTCCACACCCTTGTTTCTCCACACCCTTGTTTCTCCACACCCTTGTTTCTCCACACCCTTGTTTCTCCAACCCTTGTTTCTCCACACCCTTGTTTTCTCCACACCCTGTTTCTCCACACCCTTGTTTCTCCACACCCTTGTTTCTCCACACCCTTGTTTCTCCACACCCTTGTTTCTCCACACCCTTGTTTCTCCACACCCTTGTTTCTCCACACCCTTGTTTCTCCACACCCTTGTTTCTCCACACCCTTGTTTCTCCACACCCTTGTTTCTCCACACCCTTGTTTCTCCACACCCTTGTTTCTCCACACCCTTGTTTCTCCACACCCTTGTTTCTCCACACCCTTGTTTCTCCACACCCTTGTTTCTCCACACCCTTGTTTCTCCACACCCTTGTTTCTCCACACCCTTGTTTCTCCACACCCTTGTTTCTCCACACCCTTGTTTCTCCACACCCTTGTTTCTCCACACCCTTGTTTCTCCACACCCTTGTTTCTCCACACCCTTGTTTCTCCACACCCTTGTTTCTCCACACCCTTGTTTCTCCACACCCTTGTTTCTCCACACCCTTGTTTCTCCACACCCTTGTTTCTCCACACCCTTGTTTCTCCACACCCTTGTTTCTCCACACCCTTGTTTCTCCACACCCTTGTTTCTCCACACCCTTGTTTCTCCACACCCTTGTTTCTCCACACCCTTGTTTCTCCACACCCTTGTTTCTCCACACCCTTGTTTCTCCACACCCTTGTTTCTCCACACCCTTGTTTCTCCACACCCTTGTTTCTCCACACCCTTGTTTCTCCACACCCTTGTTTCTCCACACCCTTGTTTCTCCACACCCTTGTTTCTCCACACCCTTGTTTCTCCACACCCTTGTTTCTCCACACCCTTGTTTCTCCACACCCTTGTTTCTCCACACCCTTGTTTCTCCACACCCTTGTTTCTCCACACCCTTGTTTCTCCACACCCTTGTTTCTCCACACCCTTGTTTCTCCACACCCTTGTTTCTCCACACCCTTGTTTCTCCACACCCTTGTTTCTCCACACCCTTGTTTCTCCACACCCTTGTTTCTCCACACCCTTGTTTCTCCACACCCTTGTTTCTCCACACCCTTGTTTCTCCACACCCTTGTTTCTCCACACCCTTGTTTCTCCACACCCTTGTTTCTCCCTTTGTTGCTCTCCCTTTGTTGTACATCCCAGCCATCCCTTTTCTACCTTTGTTGTACACCTGTTGTCATTCTCCCTTCAACAAGCATTTTCCCCTGCTGCTGCACGTGACTCAGCACTTGCCAATCACCTCACCGTCATCTGCCACTTCCCTCGTCCCTCCCACATCCACCACCTCCCTTTCTTCCTCACACTCGCCCCCCGTCCCAGTGATGCATGGATAGACAAGGACATAGCACTGCTGGTCATCCGCCATCTCTACCGCCACGTGCCTCGCCAGCCCCCTCCCATTCGCCCCCCACCGCCCCTGCACGCTCACTTCGACCCCTCCTCCCCTGTCCATTCTCCCACTGCCACCAGCCCTCCCATCGATCCCTCGTTCTTCTCACCTCCTCCCTCCCCCTCTCGTCACCCCGTCTTCTCCTCCCTCTCTGCGGCCACCTCTGCTCTCTCCACACCTCGTTGCCTATCTGCAGACCTCTCCTCCTACTCCATCCCCTCCTTCCTCCCCTCCCACCCGTCCTCCTCGCCCCTTCCTGCCACCCGACCCTTCTCACCCCTCTCAGCCCCTCCCACGCCCCACCCTCTCCCACCGACATCACACTTTGCATCAGTACCATCAGCAACACCCACCACTGCTGTAACCGGCCCCCCGCCTTCCACCGTTCCCAATCCATCCGCACCCCTCTCGACCACGCCTTCGCGCCCGCCCCCCTTGAGTCAGATGCGGGGGCACCAGCGCAGCGGCAGCAGCAGCAGCCTGCTAGGGCGCCTGTGTGACGCTGTGAGCCCTCTTGAGCATGCTGCTGCTGCTGAACGGCACGCAGGGAGGCACACGGGGAAGGTGGTACCTGGGGCAGGTGCTGCTGCTGCTTCTGCTGGTGGTGGTGGTGGTGGTGGTGTTGGCAGTGGCGGTTTGCAGCAGCGACAGAGAAGGCAGTGGAGGGAGGGGGGTGTGGCACATGGGAGAAGGGCATGGGGAGGGGAGGAGAGTCAGGGGAGGGTGAGCAAGGTGGGGGCAGTGAGGAGGTGTGTGAGGCGAGTGCAGACTCACATAGAGGAAGGGGAGGATGAGGGTGAGGACGAGGGGGAGGATGAGGATGATGAGGAGGTGGCATTCACCTTCTCTAGTTGGAGGGCGGCTCAGCTGCTGCGAGTGCAGCTGCTGCTGTGACCATGCACCGCACCACACCACACCAGTGCCGCACACCTGCTTCATGTAGTGATTCATGTGAAACATATTGCTGCATTTGTGGTGTATATACAACACTTGAATGCACTACATTTATATTCGATGAAATGCAGAGGCGTTCGCCATTCCTCTTCCAGTCTGGTGATGGTCCTTACCTGCCCACATTGGCATAGGTATCATAAGAAATAATCTCCTTGCCATCTCTGCACAGAAAGAATGTGGCTCTGAATAACATAACATTACCTAGCAAGTGTCCTGCACACTTCAAGGTACTTGCGAAAACTGGGACCTAATTCTGGCCAAATCAATCAGCATCCAATGGTTTTGTGTCCTGCGCTTTCCAGCCTTGTGAAAGTGGAGGCCGGGCAGTGGGCACACAACACAAGGTCACACACAGCAATGTGTTTTCATTCCATAACAACGAGGCTCTTTGCAATATCGCCTCGATGTTGGCAGTGCCCCGCTCACAGCTCCACCTGCTGCATGTCATCAGCCCCTGGGAAGCCATTGCTGCTGCCATCCCCACCAGCACCACCCCATGCACCACTGCTTGCAAACCCTTGTGCCACTCCCAGTGCTGCCAGTGCTCCCTGTGCAACCTGAGCCCCCGGGGGCAGCATGGGAGGAGCAGCTGACATGTACCCCTGCGCGGCCCACACGCCCTTGTGCTGCTGCACCCCTGCACCTCCTTGCCCACCCACTCTCTGTCCCGAAGTGCCTGCCCCCGCTGCTGCTCTAGGCGGTGCCCCAACCGCTATGCCTGCAGGTGCCATGGGCCCAGGCACAGGAGCATCAGGTGCTGCTCCTGAACCACCTGACCCACCACCTGGCACGGCATCCCCACCTGATGACCCCACTCCATTACCCAGCCCCTCTGTGCCACCCGCCTCACCCCCTTGAGCCGGGCCAGGGGTCATGACTGCCATGGGTGCAGCGGGCATGAAGAACTTTGGCGGCCCCCCTGCTGCTGGTGCTGCTGCTCCAGTGGCGGCAGGCATGGGGCGCGGGATGGAGGGCAGCAGCGACGCGGCGGGGGTGGGTGCAGGGGTGGCGCCCTTGTTGAATGTGTCCACGTACCTGCGCGCATGGGTGGGGAGGAGGAACGGGGGAGGGGGCATTGATGCGAGAGGTGAGTGGGAGATGAGTGGCACAAAGGGAGATATAAAAACAAACTGAAAATGGAAGGCAGGTGCATATCCCCTTTCCCTTTTTCCAGAGGAGCCAGGGCCACCACACCGGCAGAGTGGAGCAAGGAAAGAGGCGGAGCACCCACCTGGAGCGCACTGCACTGCGCCGCCCAAAGCTGCCAGCGTAAGCCAGTGGAGGGCCGGGCTTCGCTGCTGAGCTGGCCAGTGCTGACGTGGAATCAGCAGCTGCCGCAGGTGCAGACTGGACAGCTGGCGGTGCAGAAGCAGGCGGGGCACCGTCAGCAGCAGGAGCAGCAGCAGGGGTGGTGGCAGGAGGGTCAGCGGAGTTGGAGGTGCCGGGAGCAGCAGGGGCGAAGGCGAAGGCGGTGGGGGGCGGGGCGAGGGTGGTTTCCACGACCTCGTCCTCCTTGCCTCGCTCCACCCACCGCTTCAGCTTCTCGTTGAAATAGAACGTGTTCTCGCCGCCCAGCTTCGCCTGCCATGCCCGGAAGAGGGGGGGAAAGGGAAAGAGAAAAGAAGCAGCAGAATGTCAGGAATGTGTTGGGAAGAGCACTAACAGAGAGACAGAAATGCTGAAGTGAACGTCGCAGCACACAGTTACAAGCCCAAGGATTCAGCATCCACCTGCCATACCTCCCTTCCGCACAGCCCTCTTCACCCATCCCTTCCCCCCTCCCCTCTCACCTGCTTCCCGCTTGCACCTCCTCCCCCTGAGCTCCCAGCAGCAGAGCCGCCACCCCAGAAGTACCCAAAGAGGCGCCCCAGCCCCTTCCCCCCTGGCGCTGCTGGTGGCTTGCCCCCTCCACCCTTGCTGCCCTTGGCCTGTAAAGGGGTGGGCGGAAGGGACGATGTGTGCAGCACGGATGAAAGAAAACGGAGGAGGGTGAGACGAGAACCACCGTGACGCCCGTAATGTGGATTTTCCACTGCCAAGATTGCATTCCAATGTGGTGAGATGGGGGTGTCATCATATGGTGACATCATACAACCATGGCATCTGTCAAGCATCATGGATCATGTCCCATGCACTGTGCACCATCCACCATGCATCACCCTCATCTCACCGGCACGGCCTGCCCCATGTCAGGAGCGGAGGCACTGCGCTTGTTGGACATGCCAGTGCCAGTGGCGAGCAGCCCCTCCACCGCCTCCTCCGTCACCAGCCCCATGGATGATGACGTGGCAAGCAGCAACGCCGACGATGAGGACGCTGACGGCCCACCCCCGCTACTCCCATCGCCGCTCGCTGCCGCCTTCCCACCTGTCCCAGTGAGTGTGGCATCAGCGCTCCCCTCGGCCATGTCCTGGGGGCTCACTTTGCTCGGGTGGACGCCCAGCAGCCCAGCCAGGGAGAATCTGCTGCGCGGCGCGGCCTTCTTGGTGGCAGGTGCACCTGGGGTGGGTAGATCTGCAGCGGAGGCGGACTGGGAGCGCGGCACGAGGGCAGGCTGGGCCTGCGGCACAAAGTCAGCATCCCCCTCCCCGCTGGGGGACTCTCGGATGGGTGTGAGGTGCCCTGAACCCCAACCTGCTGCACTCGGGGTGCCGTGCCACTCTGCTGCAAACGCTGCCATGGAGAGCGGCTCATCCTCTTTGATGGCTGGCGTCTGGGATGCAGCAGGCACCGCCTCCCCTGCCCTGCTGCTCCCTCCCCCCCCTGCCGCTACTGCTGCTGCTGTGCTGCTATCCCCCGTGGGTGTGCCGTAGGCCGGGGAGAGGGAGATTGGGGGCATGTCAGCGGTGGCGGCAGCAGGGGTGGAGGAGGAGGAGAGGGGAGTGCAGGCGGCAGAGTCAGAGGCATCGGATAACACCTCAGCCGCTGCATCGTGCCACTCGCCCTCGCCACCACCCTCCCTCTCACCCCCTTGCATCTCGCCTGCCCCTGTGCCTGTCTGCTGTTCCCCTTGCTCCTGCCCTCCTTGCGCTCCCACTCCTGCCACTCCGTATCCTTCACCCCACTGCTGCATCCCCACCTGCTCCTGCTGCGGCTGCTGCGGTTGCTCACCCCATGCCTGCGTCTCCTGAGACCAGCCTTGCTGTTGCTGCTGCTCACCCCATGCCTGCTGCTGCTCCGACCAGGCTTGTTGCTGCTGCTGCTCCTGACCCCACTGCTGTTGCTGCTGCTGCTGTTGCTGCTCCCACTCCTGCCATTGTTGCTGCTGTTGCTGCTGCTGCTCCCATTGCTGCCACTGCTGCTGCTGCTGCTCTTGCGGGTAACCACTACCGTAACCACCATACTGCTGTGCAGCCACCTCGTTCTGCTCCATCTGTCCTGCTTGTGCGACCCCATGCCCGCACTCACTGCCACCACCTGCTGTCTCTTGCACTCCCCCGCTCCACACACTGCCCTGCTCCCCTCCCGTTGCTCCCTGTGCTCCTGCCCCTGCTGCGGCACCCATAGCACCATCAGACCAGCCACTTGTGGTCCCACCACCACCAGCCATCGCAGCAGCAGCAGCAGCACTGTAGCTGCTCGCCAGACCGCCTTCACTAACCGGAGCTGCTTCAGTGGCACCTGCGCCCCGCCCCTCCGCCAAGCCTACCAGGTTCGGACCGGACGTGCTGTGCAGGCCCGGGGACGATGTGGACGCAGGAATGGCGCGTTTGCCCAGACCCCACCACCCCCCTCCCCCTGTCGTGCTAGCCTTCCCAGCCACCCCCAGGTTCGGCGCTGAACCAAACCGAGACGACTCTCCCAATCCTGGCTTGCTGCCAGCTCCTCCAGGCACAATGTCCCCCATGGCGCCTCCACCCAATGCAGATGCGACACCTGGCGCAAGGGGAGTGGCTGCAGGACCCCCACCGACAATCTTTCTAGCGCCCCTGTCAAGGAAGCTCATGAGATCTCCAAACACGCGTGCTGCTGCCACCCCGCCCCCCCCTGCCCCCTGCACATGCACCTTGAGTCGCTCCTCCATCTGCTCTGCTGCTGCCCTCCACCCCTCCACCTCCGCCGCCACCCCCCGCCCCCTGCCGCCCGCCTTAAGCATCTTCAGCACCGCGCTACAGTACTTGAGGGCCGCGGCCGGGCGGCCTGCTTCAGTGAGCATGCCGGCATAAACAAGCTTGAAGGGGAGCAGGGGGAGCAGCACGAACTGTGGGTTGCCGAGAACAAACGCGTACTCTAGCACCTCACTGCGCTGAATGGCCTGCGCTGTCACAAACGTGCGCGGGTGCTTCAGGTGATCCGTGCCTAACAGGCACATGCGTGCCGAGGAGGAGAAGGGCTCTAAGCTGCCCGCTGCGACGAGGTAGCAGATGTGTGCTGCGGCCACGTCCCCCTTGAGGCGCCAAAGGCAGTCGCCCAGGTGGGAGATGACTCTCTCATCGCCACTTGTGCGCGTCGCTGCCATGAGCGCCAGATTCTCCCTCCACTCTGCCACCATCGCCCTCACACCCTCATCGCTGCTCCCACTGCTGCCACCACCATCACCACCAGCAGCAGCACCAGCCGCAGCAGCACCAGCGACCCCTGACTTGGAGGCATCAGCAGCAGCACCGGTGGCAGCAGCAGCAGTAGCAAACACCTCAGATGGTTGCTGGGTGAGCAGGAGAGTGAGAGTGCGCAGAGGGGCGCCAGGGGCGAACTGCTGAGCCGCCATGGCGTGTGCTGTGGAGAGGAAGAGGCGCGTGTCGGTGGGGCCGCCCATGTGCTGCGCGAGCAGCAGCGCCAGCCCCCACAGGTGGCCCGCCTTGGCTGCCTCCAGCGCCTGCATGTGCCTCCCCGCCACCAGATGCTGCTTCACCTCCCGCGCTGCCGCCTGTAGGGGCCATGGGTGCGGAGGGAGCGAATGGAGGGATGGAATTGGGGTAGGTGGAGAGCAGAGGGCATGTGCATCCAAAGGACAAGCAGTGCAGGAATGAAAAAAGCCCCAGGCACGAGAGGGAAGGGAGAAGAGCAGAGCACGTGAGGAGCGCACCTGAACAGCAGCTTCCGTGGGGATGGGCAGTTGGAGGTCCGACAAGCGGGCAGCAGCAGAGACGGCAGCAGGCAGGGGCGACCATGCAGAGGCGTATGGCGCCATGGGAGCCACTGCTGCTGCCGACGCTGCCACCAAGGGGAAGGGCCCGGCTGTAGAGGCAGCGGGGGCGGCTGTAGCACTGCTGGCTCCAGCCTTTTCCCCCACCAGCGCCTTGGCTAGCTCTGCCTCTGGTGATGACTCGCCCTGCCCATGACACAAGGTAGATGGCAGGTGGCACATGGCACATGACACATGGCAGGTGGTACATGGCACATGACACATGGCAGGTGGTACATGGCACATGACACATGGCAGGTGGTACATGGCGCATGACACATGGCAGGTGGTACATGGCAGGTGGTACATGGCAGGTGGTACATGGCAGGTGGTACATGGCACATGCGTGCACGCACGGTAAAGTGAGGGTACCAACAGACAGCTCAAGAACATAAAAAGGCAAGATCAACAATCCTTTGGGCAAGAAACATGGCATCACCATGAAGGCTGCTGCCACTGATAATGTGTCGCATGCAGTGTGATAAAGGATTCACTATGAGACGTCTCAAAGCACTCACGTTGTCTTGCAGACGGGACGGATAACAGCAACACACGCAAGGGAAGAGGAGAAAACAGACAGGAGGATAGTCGGACGAAGGGAGCATAGGAATGACGTGCTTCCTCACCCACCTAGTCACCACGCTGCACGCACCTGTGCGGACCGACTGCCCATGCCATCCCGCCTCAGCTGCCCGTAGAACTGACACGCCACTCGCAGCACTCGCCACAGCAGCGCCACACTCTCTGCCCTCTCTGACCTCCCCGCACCCCCACCGCCCGCTGCCTCCGCCTCCTCCTCCTCCTCGCCACTCCTCTCAGCCCGCTCCTCCAGCCACTTGCTCATCTCCTTGGCCGACATGCCGCCAGCTGTCAGCGGCCCATTGGGCGCGTGCTTGCCGGTGAGCGGGGCGAGGTAGAGCGAGCCGGTGGTGCTGGAGGCAGTGGAGGCGCCGTCGTGGGAAGCGAGGCTCAGCAGGTGCGGCAGGGGCAGCAGCTTCAGTGTTGGCTGCACTGGCGGGGACAGCTGCGGTTGTTACCAAGGTGTGTGTGGCAGGGAAGGGGGGGGGGACAGGGGGAAGAAAGGGGGAAGCGGCAAGGGATGGGGGAGAAAGGGTGTTGAAATGGGGAGAAGTGGGGTGAAAGGAGAACACTGAGATAACGGCTATGTGATTCTGGGATCTTCATATTCATGAGCAGCAAGCTATGATGTGACTGACTGCAGCACGGGGGGCAGCACTGACCTCCACCTGCCCCTGCGACCCCAGGGTCTGTCCGAGGGAGCTGCCAGGCACCACCACGGCTGCCCTGCCTCCGAACCCAAACGCCAGCAGCGTGTGCGGCGGGCGGCCCGCAGACGACAGAACCGCCTCCGCTGTGCTTGTGGGCGGCACATGATTGTACTGCACTGGTTGGTACTGCTGCTGCTGCTGCTGCTCGTACTGCCCATACTGGTATCCCTGCTGGTACCCCTGGTACCCCTGCGCATACCCCCCAACTCCTGCCGTCTGCTGCGCTTGCTGCTGCTGCGTCTGCTGCTGTGAGTACCGGGCGGATGGCACCATCAGCCCTACCCCAGGTTTCCCTACCGTCTCTGGCACCCAGGGGGCGTGTGGCTGGGGCTGGCTGTAGCCAGGGTCGGGCTGGCTGTAGCGCGAGCCAGCAGGGCCGTACCCAGGGTCGGGCTGAGACGATCCGCCAGGGTAGCTGCTACTGCCCTGCGCCTCTGCTGCAGCGCCCTCTCCCCATGGGGCAGGGGCGGGCAGGAACGGCTGTGGCTGCATGGGCAATGGCGGCTGCTGCAGAGGCTGCGAGGAGGTGGGCACGAGCAGGCTGTCTGCTGTGGGTGGGTACGAGGATGCACCCTCTGCTGCCACCGCCCCCCCATTAACCCCTGCTGCTGCTGCACTCTGTGCTGCCACTGCCTCTGTACTGCCATACTCTGTGACTTGTGTTTGTCCCTCCCCTTCCTGCTGCTGCTGCTGCTGCTGGTAGTACCAAGCATTGTATGCATCATACTCCGTCTGGCCCCACTGGCTCCAATCCTGCTGCGCCCACGCCCCTGCCTCGCCCTCCCCTGCTGCACCTGCCACCTCGCCTCCTGCACTCACCTCCTCCGAAGCGGCAGCTGCGTCTACCCCCACCGCGCCACCCTGTTCGCCTGTCCCCTCCTCACCTGCCTCTGCGCTTGTAGAGGCAGCAAGAGAATCCGGAGGTGGGGCCAGGCCAGGGAGAGGGGGAGCTGCCTCAAACGACAGCTGCATGGCAGGCTCACCCTGAGACGCCGCTGCATTGCCTGCGTCTGCAGCAACCCCACCCTCTGCCTCCCCTTCCTTGGGCACCGTCTCTTCAAACTGAGCCCACTCGTCTGCCTCCCCTGCCCCAAACCCTGGTATATCTGCACCCGCTATCCCTGCACTTTCTCCGCCAGCTGCCACGCTGCCAGCCACCGCTGCTGCCCCATCCCCTGCGCCACTCACTGCCTCCACAGCAGCAGCAGTAGCCTCGTCTGCAGCAGCAGCTGCGCCTGCACCAGAAGGCACCTGCTCGTCCGTGGGCAGCCACTGACCCAACAGAGGATCCCACCTCCACCCTGGGTACTCCGTCGCTATCACTTCCCCCTCTGCACCGCCTTCAACTCTCCCTGCCTCCCCACCAATAGCACCCACGCCCAAGCTCTCTGCTGCTTCACCCACCGCCTCCACTGCAGCTACCTCTGCTGCCTCACCCTCGTTCACAGCTGCCACTGCTGCCACAGCTTCAGCCCCATCAGCAGCAGACTCTGGCTGGTCGTCAGGCACCCACTGGCCCAGCAGGCCATCCCAGCGCCACCCAGGGTACTGCAGCGCGATGGCCTCCGCCCCTGCTGCTGCACCGCTGCTGCCCTCCGCATCGCCAGCCCCATCTGCTGCTGCTGCCCCATCTGCTGCTGCCGGTGCCGCCTCGCCCACCTGCCGCCACTCGCCAGTCACTGCGTCCACCACCCACCCCGGGTACTCCGTTGCTATGACGTCCGCCCCTGCTGCCTCGCCACTAACCGCAAACGTCTCTGCCTGTGCCTCTGCCTCTGCCTGTGCCCCTCCACCCGCCACCTCAGTCCCAGGTCCATCTGCGCTCAACACTGACGTGCTTATCCCGCCCTCAGCTTCTGTCGACCCGCCCTCTGCTTCCCATGGGGCTGCCACAGCAGCTGCCTCCACCACCTCCTCCTTCCAAAACACGTCTCCTTCGCCTGCTGTGCCCTCCTCTCCTGCTAACCCCTCTTGCCCTGCCGTCGTCCCCTCTTGCCCTGCTGCACCCTCTCCCCCAGTAACCTCTGCCTCGGCTATACCTTCTGCCACAACAGCAGCCTCAGGTCCACCTGCATGCTCCTCTGCTGCTAGTGGTTGCACAGCCACCCCAGCGTCCCCTGGCAAGTCCTGCTCCTCAAACACTCCGTCGCCCTCCCCCATTCCCATCCCTATCCCCGCCCCTGCTGCTGCATCTACTGCTGCTTCTGCTGCATCTGCCTCAGCCACTGCACCGCCCTCCCCAAAGCCGCCCTCCTCAATCACACTCACACCAGCTGTAGCAGCATCAGCTGCTCCCATGACCTCAGCTGCTCCACCAGCGTCACCTGCTTCAGCCGCCTCTGCTACAGCAGGCTGCTCGTCTGTGGGCACCCACTGGCCCGTGAGAGGGTCCCACATCCACCCGGGGTACTGCGCTGCTATCGCCTCATACCCTGCAGCCTCCGCGCCCTCTGCCTCTGCAGCCACCACTGCTGCCATCCCTCCGCCGCCCTCTCCCAATGCCTCCTCTGCACCACCTGCGCCCACCCCCAGCGCCTCCCCATAGCCTCCCTCCGCAACCCCTGCGTCCGCCCAGAAGGGCTCCACGGAAGCACCCTCTGCCTGTGCTGTGACTGAAGCTGCCGTCTCCTCAGCACCCACACTAGCAGCAACACCAGCAGCAGCAGCAGCCGCATCAGCTGCTGCTGCATCTGTATCTGCATCCAGCGCCTTCAACTCTCCCTGCTGCAGCCCGTCTGTCCACCCCTCCACCGCTTCTTCCCCTACCTGCTGCCCCCCCTCTCCCTCTTCTGGCCCCCCAACTGCCTCTGAAACCTCATCCACCGCTGGAGCACTGACCTCAGCTTCAGTTGCAACCTCAACACCAACATCCGCAAATCCGTCTGCCTCCGCCTGACCATCCGCCTCCCCTCCTGCACTACCTGCCTGCCCCTCCATCGCCTCCCCCCTTGCCTCACTCACCACCTGTCCCTCGCTCTCGAACCCCACGAGCGACCCCTCAACACCTCCCTCAACCTCCTCTGCCGCCCACTCCACCGTTGCCCCACTCACCTCGCTCTCAGGCCACCCCTCCCCTGCCACCACGGCTGCTGCACCCCCTGCCTCGCTTGTCTCGCCAGCAGCAGCAGCAGCAGCAGCAGCAGCAGCAGCAGCAGCAGCAGCAGCAGCAGCAGAGTCGGCAGCTACAGCGGGCTGCGCGCCTGTGAACACCCACTCGCCCGCCACAGCGTCCCACTCCCACCCGGGGTACTGCGTTGCTATGGCCTCACTTCCTGTTGTCTCGGTACCCTCCGCGAATGCACTCTCCACTGCACCCGCTGCTGTTGCCTCACTGCCTGCCTCGCCTGCCTCCCAAGCCTTCGCATCTACTGCTTCTTCACCTGCTGACAACACTTGCTCCTCTTGCGCCAGAAACTCTGCTGCATTGCCTACAGAATCCTCAACCATTCCCTCAGCTGAATCGACTACCTGCGTTGAGACTGTCTCACCCTGGCTATCGACACCTTCTGCACCCCCTGCTGCTGCACCGCCCATCACCTCTGGTGGTGCAAGCCCCATGCCCTCCTCTCCCGCTGCTGCATCCACGACCTCTCCCTCACCTGCTTCCATCCACTCCGATCCCTCCCCTTCTGGAGCCACAGACTCCCTTGCTTCTGCCCCCAGTACCCACTCCTGCTCCCCTGCAATGGGCTCACTTATTGCCCCTTCTGCGCCTTCAGCTACAACCTCCGCTGCTACAGCTTCCGCTGCTACAGCCTCTACTGCTAACGTCGTTCCACCAGCAACGTCTGTAGCAGCTTCAGCCCCATCTGCAGCAGCAACTGTCGCAGCATCATCTGGCTGGTCATCCGGCACCCACTGGCCCAGCAGGCCATCCCAGCGCCACCCGGGGTACTGCAGTGCGATGGCCTCCCCCCCTGCTGCTGCTGCGCCAATGCTGCCCGCCGCATCGCCAGCCTCATCTGCTGCTGCTGGCGCCGCCTCGCCCACCTGCCGCCACTCGCCAGTCACTGCGTCCACCACCCACCCCGGGTACTCCGTTGCAATGACCCCCGACACACCAACTGCAGCTGCCTCTACTCCCTGGCCCTCCACCTGCTGCTGCCCCTCCTGCTGCTGCCCCTCCCAAGCGGCTTCACCTGCCACCTGCCCCTCCTCCCCCATCCGCACGTCACCATCCCCCTGCCCCTCGCCTCCCTCGGCGTCAAATGCATCATGCTCACCCTCGCCCACGCCACCCGCACTCCCCCCTTCCATACCCGCTGCGTCCGTCACTGCAGCCCGTTCCTCGGCAACCTCCGCCACCGCTGCCTCGCCTCCCTCACACACACGCAACTCCTCCCCACTATGAATCCCCGCGCCAACCTGAGTGAGCTCAGAGGAGAGCGGGGGAACGGTGGGTTGGGAGTCAGGGAGGAGAGGCAGAGGAGGAGCGGCATCAAAGGAGAGGGGCTGCAGAGCAGGACTGACTGGCAGCTGCTCATCCCCACCCACTCCTGTAACCCCCTCCTGCACACGGCTCTCTGCCTGCTCCTTGCCCTGTTCACCTGCTGCCATCAGCACCGGCTGAAACTCAGATGTATCCCCAAAAGGGACAGGTGGCGGGGCGTCAGCTGACTCTGCCACTGTCATCTCAGCCTGACGTGCCACATCCGTCATCTCCTCCGCCTCGCCTGCCCCTTGCCACGCCTCTGCCGGTGGTGCTGAAGGCTCAGCAACAGGCGACTGACCCACTTCTGCTTCCGCTTCCGGAGGAACTTGCTCTAAAGGAGCTGCCTCCATCACTGCATGCTCCGTGGTGCCTGCTGCTGGAGCGTCGCCTGCTGCCACTGCTGCTGCTGCTCCAGGATCCGCTTCTGCAGCAGCAGAGGCATCTGCTACAGCTGCGGTGTCAGCAGCAGCAGGTGGCACATAGCCCTCGATCTGCCTCCACTCGCCTGCCATGATGAACAGGAGGCATGACACGAGCGGGAAAGGATGACGGATGCAGGGCGAGAGCAAGAAAATCAATCAACTGTGTCTGAGATAATTGAACGTCACACGGCCCTACAGGCTCCACAAAAAGACGAACCCAAACGGACGATCTAATTTGCTCCATTGCCACCAAGTACTGGCGGCGGCAGACAGTCCCCTTCTCACCTGCTGCGTAGTCCCAGTACCAGCCAGGGTACGCCTCTGCCCACTGCCGTTGCTGCTCCTCCCACTGTTCCGCCGTCAACTCACCCTGCCCGCCGTACTGCCCCTCCACCTGCCCGCCATACTGCCCCTCCACCTGCCCGCCATACTGCCCCTCGCCCTGCCCTGCATACTGCCCCTCGCTCTGACTATCGTGCTGCCATCCTGCCTGCCCATCCTGATACGCCTGCCACGCCTGCCCCTCTTGCCCTGCCTCCCCGCCCTCCACCGCCATCTGCTGCTCTCCCATATACCCCTCTCCCACGCTCTGCTCCCCCGCGCTCTGCTCCCCCACTGTCTGCTCACCTGCTCCACTCCACTGCCCTTCTCCCCCCTCCACGCCATCTCCACTTACCATCGCACCACCGGTCCCCTCATCACCTCCCTCCATGGCTGTATCAAGTGCAGTGGCTTCAGAACCAGCACCAGGAGCCGTGGCTTCCCCTTGCCCATCCACACCGTCTACCAGGTCAGCCCCAACAGCGTCAGAACCAGCGCCAGCACCCGCAGCAGCACCAGAATCAGCATCGCCATCAGCATCGCCATCAGCATCAGCATCAGCATCAGCATCAGCAGACATAAACCAAGCCGCCGCATCCTCCTCCCGCTCCTCCACCTGCCCGCCCTCCTCCCCACTCTTCCCCCCACCCACGCCAGCACCACCCTCTACAACCCTCGCAGCCCCAGAGTCCGCGGATCCTGAACCAGCAGCGCCCTGAGCACCCGGCAGCAGCTGCGCCGTGGGCCCTGCGAGCGAAGCAGCAGCAGCGGGCGGGGCAGGGCGGACAGCGTCACGGTCCACAGCAGCAAAGAAGGCGGCAGCGTCCTCCTCACTGGCAGTGGCCTTGAGCAGGCGGGTGGCAGCAGCCGACACTGCTGACGCCACGGAGGCCATCATGGGTCCCCCCAGCCGCACCGCACTGCCGCTCGCCAGCGCTGCCATCACATCCTCTTCTTCCTCCTCCTCCTCTTCCTCTTCCTCCTCGTCCGCCAGTCCTCTCTGCAGCATGGCCAGTACCCCAACTTCGCCCGACGCCCCCCCATCCGCGCCCCCCTCGTCCGCGTCCTCCCCCACGCCCCCAAAGTCCATGCTCACCAGGTCCTCCCACCCCAGCTGCTTCCTCCCCCCGACTCCTCCTCCCCTCTCCCTACCGCTAGCCCCCACTTCTGCCCCAACCTCTGCCCCGGCCTCGCCACCCTCGTCCCCTCCGCCCATCCAAGAAGCAAAGCCACCTGCGCTCGCCGCACCCCAAGTGGGCTTGGGGCCATCAGCAGCAGCAGCAGCAGCAGGTGCAGCAGGAGCAGCAGGGGACGCTGTGGCTGGGTCAGCAGCGGCGCCTCCCAGCATGGAGAGCACGGGCATGGCGAGACCCTTGAGGGCCAACGCGCCTGCAGAGGGATCAGAGGAAAGGGGCGCGTTGGACATGCTTTGTTGGTAGGCAAGTGTCGATGCTGGGGAAACTGGAGTCAGCCGCGATGCAGAGAATGGGCTCACATCACATGCATGCTCACACATGCACACTCACATTCCCAAATGCACAGATGCCAAGCAACGAGAGCACCCATCTCACCTTGGTTGATGACCTGTGAACCCAGCTTTGCCCCTGCGCCCTCTCGCCCCGCGCCAGCCTTGTCAAACAGGCTGCGGATCTTGCTCTCATTGCTCTCATTGCTCTCATTGCTCTCATTACTCTCATTGCTCTCATTGCTCTCCTTGTCCTCCCCCACACCGTCCCCTCCCCGCCTGTTAATGCCACCACCCACGCCCACATCATCCCCCTCGCCCAGCACCCCCTCCCCATCCTGCCCGCCCTGCACGCCTTCCCTGCGTGCGCCTGCGCCATCCCCTGCCTCCTCCCCGGGCTGCCCCGTCAGCAGCACGTCAGACGACCACGCGGACACGTCAGACGCCGCCTTCACCAGCGACCCCAGCAGCGGCCACGCCCCCTCCCTCCGCCCCCCTGCTGTCGCCGGCCGCGCCATGCGCGCGCCCACTCCCCCCACCCCGAACCCGCCCCACGCATCCCCGCCCAGGCCTCCCCACCCTTCCCCGTGCTGCCTCCCCCCCTGCGCGCCCGCCTCTCCGCTCATGGCAGCAGAGCTAACGCCCTGGAAGCTGTTGGTGCGCGCATACGCGCGCTCCCCCAGAGGCCTCTCCGCAACGAATCTGTCCGCGATCCCCCATTCATCACCCTCGTCTATGCTCCCCCACCCGTCACCCTCTCCCGCCCAGCCCTCGCCATGCCCACCGCCCCCGCCCTTCTTGCTCTGCCCCTTCCGCTGCTCGCCGTTGGCCTCCTCGCCTGCAGCCAGCCGTGCAGCCGCGCCGGCAGCCACGTCAGCATCAGTGCGACCCACCTTGGCGCCACCCTTGGCAGCATACCCGGCGGGGCCATCCCGCCCGTTGGCCCACGCGCTGCCTACCAGCGCACTGCCTTCAGCAGCGGGCCTCGTGCGCTGCTTCCTCACCTCCTGCGCCTGCTCCTCCGCCTGCCTCTCCCTCGCTTTGCGCTCCATCTTCTGCCTCTCGCGCTCCTTCTGCTCGCGCTCCCTGCGCTGCTGCTCCAGACGCTCCTGCCTCTCCTGCTCCCTCCTCTCTCGTTCTCGTCGCAATTGCTCCTGCCGCTCCTTCTTCTTCCTCTCTTCCTCTCGCCGAAGCCACTCTTGCCGTTCCCGCTCCTTCCGCTCCTCTTTCTTCCTGAACTCCTCCTGCCGCTCCCTCTCCTTCCGTTCCTGCTCCTTGCGCCTCTCCTGCTCCTTCTTCTCCTCCTCGATCCGCTTCTGCTCCCGCTGTTCCCACTCTACTCGTTCCCTCTCTGCCTTCAGCTTCTCTTTCCGCTCCCTTTCCTTCCGCCTCTGCTGCTCCTGTTCCTCCTTCTGCTTTCTCTCTAGCTCTTTCCTTACCTTCTCCTCTCGCTCCCTCTCCTCTATCTTCTCCTTCTCCAATCGCTCCTTCTCCAATAGTTCCTTCTCCATACGCTCTTGCATTTCCTTCGCTTTCCCTTCCTGCTCCTGCAGCCTCGCTTGCTCCTCTCTCTCCTTCTTTTCACGCTCGATTCTGAATTGCTCTTGCTTCTCCTTCTCCCTCCTTTCCTGCTCCTTCTGCAACAACTCCAGCCGCTCCCTTTCCTCCCTCTCCTGCTCCGACCTAAGCTGCTCCAGTCGTTGCTGCTCCAGTAGTTCTTTCTCCTTCCTCTCCTGCTTTTCTCTCAGTTGCTCAAGCCTCTCTTTCTCCTTCCTCTCCTGCTCTTCTCTCATTCGCTCAAGCCTTTCCTTTTCCTTCCTCTCCTGCTCGGCTTTCAGCTGCGCCTCCCTCTCCCTTTCCTTCCTCTCTTGCTCTGCTCTAAGCCGCTCAAGCCGCTCCTTCTCCTTTCTCTCCCGCTCAACCCGAACCTGCTCCTGTCGCTCCTCGTCCTTCCTCTCCTTCTCCCTTCGCTCCTCTTCCAACCTCTCCCTCTCCCTCCTCTCCTCCTCCTTCCGCAACTGCTCCAACCGCTCGCGCTCCTGTTGCTCCCGCTCCTTCCGACTCTCTTCCTCCATCTGCCGCTGCTTCTCCCGCTCCCTCGCCTGCTCCATCTGCGCATCCCGCGCCTGCTGCTCCTCCGCCGCCTGCGCCTGCTTCTCACCGCCAGGCCCGTCGCCACTGCTCGCAGCACTCAGCTGCGGCGCGGACAGCCGTCTGGGCACGGCCCCCAGCAGCCTGCCTTTGCCTGCGGGCTTGCCTCCCAGCCGGGGGGACGTTAGTTTGCGCGCGACGGGCGCGGAGGACGAGGAGGTGGAGGAGCAGGACGAGGAGGGGGATGCCGGTGCGAGGGGAACGGGCGGCGCGGGTGCGGCTGAGGCGAGCGGGGAGTCGAAGAACGGCACTGCCGCGGGGGGGAGGAGAGGCGCGGGGACAGCGGTGGAGAACGAGGCGGGGCGAGTGGGTCCGCGCGAAGCATCCGCGCGCAGATCGTCCGCGTCGTCGAAGCCCAGAAACGCACTCGCTGCCGGCTCCGCGTGATTTGACGGGACGGAAGAATTCGGAATCGCAGCAGGTATAGCCGAAGGTGTTGGCGTTGCAACGGGAATGCCATTAGCGGGGATAGATGCGACGGATGGAGCACCAGTGAGAGTAGACAGGCTGACACTTCTGCCGCTGCTGTTGCTGCTGCTGCTAACCGCGGTGGCACTAACGTTGTTGGAAGCATTAGGGGTTGCAGCGGGAGAGGGAGTGATCGCGGAGCGAGCGACGAGCGGCTTGCCTTTGACGAGCGACGACCGCGACGCCTTGCCGGAGAGCCCGATGATCTTAATCGGCGCGGTCGCTGCACCCGCCGCGGAAGACGACGGACCGTGCGGAGCGGAAGCTGCAGCGCGGGGAGCGGGAGCAAACGCGGGAGGAACCGCGCCTTGCCCTTGCGACGATGTCGCGGTGGAGGGTTGATGATGTGCTGTTGACGATCTGTTAGTCGAAGAGACGACAGATGTCGTTGGAGTCGCATCTGTCGCATGCGATGTCGCATTGGACGACGACGGTGCGACGGATTGCGAAAGTCCTTTCTTGGAAGCAGCTATTGCTCCTCGCTTCGCAGTTGCGTGCGGAGGGTGTGCGGGGTCCGTCGCTGCAAGCAGATGCTGCTTCGCGGATTCCGGCAGCAAAACGTCAAGCGGATCTGCAGGATGCACGTCCCGGATCGACGGATGCCGATGTGAATCCGACGGCTGAGATGCGACGGTGGAATGGGTTCGGGTCGCTTGACTGCCATCGATCGCAGCAGGCAGAGCGTGCGACGCAGCGTGAGATCCGCGAGGTACGGACTGAGGAGATTCGAGCTGCGCGGAAGGAGCAGGAGGGTCTTGATGTGCGAATCCAATGGACGCGTCTGTCGCTCCCGATGCATCTGACCACGTCGCGAGAGGCTTGGAGCTCAGCCTGACTGCGCCAAGACCTCCTCCCCCCGGCTTCTTCTTTCGAACAATCGGCGGCATGGCTACCCTACTCTCGTCTACGGTCTACCGAAAGAGAATAAGAACTCGAGAAAGACGAAATAGGATGCCATGGAATGGAATGGGAGGCGAGAAATATAGCAGGCACATATGCAGATGTTCCCTGGATGTTTGGTTTGGTGCAATCTCGAGAATTGGCAGATCTGACATGCCCATGAGCCTTGAGCTTGTCAGAAGGGGTAAGCAGTTCGTCAGAAGGCTGTAGAAAGGAGGAGGTCCATCTACACTTGCGCTAAGGCATACAAGAATGTACTAACTCCCACCAACTAAATTCAACATATTCATTGATGTGCATACATAACCAACTACGGTACACGGGATACTTTCTTCCATAACAATATGGCTTTCTTCTTCACATGATATTCTAAAGTTTACGTACTTAAAACTGCATTCGGTCGATATGGATCCTTATAACTAAGCGTCATGATGAGCAGCATTATATTTTGTCATTTCATTCTATGTCATTCCACAAGACCACAGCATTGACATTCAATCCAGCATGAGTACCGTAGTTATGTTGAGATACGGTATGTTTTAGTTGTCAAAATGTTATAATGCTTACATTGTTTAGGCTGTAGTGGGGTAGCCCATAAGGGGTACAACCCAATTATTGTTAGTACTTGTACCCAACTCATTCATAGTTAATTCATTCTCGTTCAGTATTCTGACATGGTTTCAGAGCAGGTCCTGTTCCAGGACCGTTCTCTTTAGGGCCCACCGAATAGCGCTGCCCCACTAGTCGCGCTGCCCTGCCCCGCCTGTCGCGCCGCCCTGCTGGCTGCCGCGCCGCCCTTTGCAGCATGCGCGCCGCCCTTTGCATCCCGCCGCGCCGCCCTTTGCAGCCCACGCGCCGCCATTTGCAGCCCGCGCGCCGCCCTTTGCAACCCGCGCGCCGCCCTGCTGCTGACCGCCCTGCCTTGCCCGCGCGCCGCCCTGCTGGCCGCCGCGCCGCCCTTTGCAGCCTGCCGCCCCGCCCTTTGCACCGCGCGCCGCCCCTTGCAGCCCGCGCGCCGCCCTTTACACCCATGCGCCGCCCTGCTGCTGCCCGCCCTGCTGCGGTGATGCTCGCAACCCTCCCACGCCCTTGCTGGCTTGGTAATAGGCTCAGACAAGCGCAGCCACGTGACCCGGCGGAAGAAAAACGCTCGGAACAAGCGGTTCCGCCCCCAAAACGCGGAAGGATCCGCACATATGCAGGAAGTGCAGCGGGCGCTCTTCATTCGCGAGCGCCGATGACCGATGATGCTCGCAACCCTCCCACGCCCTTGCTGGCTTGGTAATAGGCTCAGACAAGCGCAGCCACGTGACCCAGCGGAAGAAAAACGCTTGGAACGAGCGGTTCTGCCCCCAAAACGCGGAAGGATCCGCACATGTGCAGGAAGTGCAGCGGGCGCTCTTTATTCGCGAGCGCCGATGAACAGTGATGCTCGCAACCCTCCCACACCCTTGCTCGCTTAATAATAGGCCCAGACAAGCGCAGCCACGTGACCCGACGGAAGAAAAACGCTCAGAACGAGCGCTTCCGCCCCCAAAACGCTTCTTGTTACCACTTGTTCTCCCCCACTTTGCCTATGGGGGTGTGTCAGAATATTATATTGCTTATTTTGTGTAGGCTATAGTGGGGTAGCCCATAAGGGGTGCAACCCAATTAGGGTTAGTACTTGTACCCAACTTCTGCTCAATGCATTCATTCTCGTTCGTTAGTTTGACAGTTCTAACCTTTCCGATCCACATATTTTATGCTATTTCAGAGTTCTAGCTCCGCCTTGTACCTGCATACAAGCGTGCATGTTGACCGAATCGACCAACGCATAATTTTCTCTGTAGAAATAAAGTGAATACCATATATTTTCCAATTTCCTTTAATTATACCATTCCCCACCCCCCTATCAGGTTTTAACCTTTTGGATCTATGTAATTTGGCAGATACAGGCATTCCAGTCGTACATGGTACCTGCACTACAGGCGCGCATACTGACCAAACAGACCAGCGCATTACTTATGTCAGTAGAGATGCAGTTAGTATCATTTTATAGCCAGTCTACTAGATTAGGCCTTCTACTTCAACAACACTAGGTTCTAACCTTTTCGATCCACATATTTTGAGAGATTTCATAGTTTTAGCTCCGTCTTGTACCTGCATACAAGCGTGCATACTGACCGAACCGACCAACGCATTATTTTCTCCGTAGGCATACAGTGATTACCATATATTTCCCCAATTCCTCTAACTTATACCATTCCCCACCCGCCTACCAGGTTTAAACCTTTTGGATCTATGTAATTTGACAATCGTACATGATACCTGCACTACAGGCGCGCATATCGACCAAAATAACCAGCGCATTACTTATGTTTGTAGAGATGCAGTTAGTACCATTTTCTTGCCAGTCCACTAGATTAGGCCTTCTACTTCAACAACACTAGGTTATAACCTTTCCGATCCACATATTTTAGGATATTTCAGAGTTCTATCTCCGCCTTGTACCTGCACACAAGCTTGCATGTTGACCAAACCGACCAATGCATTATTTTCTTTGTAGAAATAAAGTGAATACCAGATATTTTCCAATTTCCTTGAATTGTACCATTCCCCACCCCCCTACCAGGTTTTAACCTTTTGGATCTATATAATTTGACAGATACACGCATTCCAGTCGTACATGGTACCTGCACTACAGGCGCGCATACCGACCAAACAGAATTCACTTTGATATCATTGATAACTCAATACATTTGTATCTGGCCTAGAAATACGCGGATATGTAACCATGGAGTTACCATGCGGATGGGGCATCCCTCTTCTCGGTTTCTCCATCACCTCACCATCATTGCTTGTTCCTCAGTTAGCTCGGTCCGCCATAGGTAGCTAGTGAGTCTCGTCTCCCTGACCTCGAATGTGTCAACTAAATCGTTTCTCAATTGCTTTAATCCCCTCCGCTGCTTTCGATGGCTTTCGCGTCCTTCAATCCGCTGGGCAAATCCCGTGCGCGAGGACACGGGGATCGTCGAAACATGCGATTGCACGTCGAGCTTCCACCGTTCGATCTCGTCGTCCGCCTGATCCGGTCACAAATGCGTTACTATTATTGGAAGACGTGATCGATCGAGTCTCGTGGTTGTGGTTGTAGCGGGCAACTAGGTCTACCTTCCTGATACAGTGCCGCTCGCAATGCATTTCAGGCTGCCAGAGAATCTGAAGCTTTCTCAAGTAGGCCTTCTTTGTACGGTGCCGGTGCCGCTGATTAATCGTTTTTAAGCTGCCAGTCCGGCACACAGGAACGAGTGAGAGTTAACAGAAACTAACGACGGACGGGTGAGCACCGCCTTTCTCCGTGAAGCCTGATGGAACCTCTTGAATGGTAGAGCTGTACGAGCGTGAGCAGTACTCGACGGTTTCGTGCTGACGCTGTGCCGTGCTGTGGGATTCACGCGACGACTCTGCGCATCAGCGGCACCCCCCCGGCGTTGGACGAGCCATTTGTAGCAGCAGCACGAAAAGCAGGAGGTCATTGCAGTATCAGCAGGACGAGCAGCAGCAGCAACACTAGCAAGAGCAGCAGCATCAGCATCAGCATCAGCATCAGCAGCAGCATCAGCAGCATCATCAGGCGGCGATGGAGAACATGATGGTGGCGGGGAGTCGCATGCGCAAGGAGCTCTCAGTGGCCGCCTCCATCGTCATCGACGACGTACGCTCTCCGTCTCCTGCCTGCATCCATTGCCGCTGAACCCATTCATTCTCAGCATCCTTAGTTGCTGATGCCATGGCATGCTCGCATCGCATCGTGGAGGGCTCTGAGATCGTACCATGCCTTGATACGCGACTTAGCTACCCCTTCCCCCTTCCATCCAACCCTAACTACAGGACGTCTCGGGCCCATCGGAGTCACACGGGCAGCTGCCGTGCGCCATCTGCCAGCAGGCCATTGGGGTGGACGCGGAGGGGCGTGAGTTCGTGCCATGCGAGTGCGCCTACCGCATCTGTCGCCCGTGCTACGAGTACATCCGCGCACACGAGGGCAACCGCTGCCCCCAATGCCTCTCCAAGTACCGCCGCCTCGCAGGTAAGCCCCCCCCCTTCCCGTCCTCCTCCCTCCTGTTACTCTCCGTACTCATGATTCTTTCCACTAATTTTCAGAGTGAAGCACGTTACACGTGCCTCTCCACCTTGCTCCTTCCCTTCCCCTCTCCTCCTGCTCCGTCGCTGCTTGCATTGCTGAATCCGGATCTTTCAGCCACGAATGTTCCCTCATTGTTTCTCGCTCCCATGCCATCCCACCGTATGTCATGTCCCCGTGCTGCTGTCTGCCGTGTCATGCATCTTGTCCGAGCAGGCAGTCCCCCAGTGGACGACGATCCACCAGAGGAGGTCATCCGCCACCTCGAAGAGTCCATTCCCGACGCCCCTGTGCCCTCCGCCCCTGCGCCTGGGCCACCCGCCATTGCCGCTCCTGTGCCCCCTATCCCCGTTCCCTCTGCCCTCCCCGCACCCCACACCCTCCCCTCGTCCCCTCTCCCACCGTCGTCCGTGCCTCTCGCTTCGCCCCTCTCCTCCTCCGCGCCTCACCTGGCACTGGAAGCCTCGTCGTCTTCCCCTTCATCTGCATCCCACGCGTCTGCATCACCACCAGCACCCGTGCCCGTTGCTGCGGGCAGCAGCAGCGGGGCTGGCGGGCAGGGCAACGCAGTGAGCTCCGGCGGTGGTGGGGCTGGCTTGGGTATTGGTGTTGGTGGAGGGGGAGACGAGAGCCCATCATCAGGCAGTGCAGGCAGCCCCTCCAGCTACGGCTATGGCAGCATCGTCTGGTTCACCCCCCGCCGCCAGTTGTCTGCCTTGGCACCTAATGGGGACGCTGCTTCTGCTGCAGGTGTTTCTGCTGCAGGTGTTTCTGCTGCAAGTGTTGCTGGTGCTACTGCGGGTGCTGCTGCTGCCGGTGCTGCCGGTGTGGCTGAGGGTGGTCCCTCCACGGCCATTATCCCGGTGCATGATACTGCCACCTCTGCAGGCGGGTTGGGGGGTGGCGATGGGGGCCTGAGTGTGATGCCCAATGATGGTGCTTCTGCTGACGGTTCGCCATTCATGTGCGGACGCCACTTTTCCCACCCCTGTGTTACGTTCTTGTCCCTCCCTCTCCCTCCTTTCCTCTTCTAAACCCTCCATCCATTTCCGCTCGCACTTTGATGATATTTCCACATGATGTTGCCCAGTTCTACCCCATGTGCTGCTCTGCGCCACTCCTCCATCTGCATCTGCTGCTACCTTATTGCCGATTCGCCCCCGTTGCAGAGTGGACGACACACGCCGCCCCTTGTCGCGCAAGGTGCCGGTGCCGTCCAGCATGCTCAACCCCTACAGGTGGGTAGCATCACATCACAACAGTGCACGTACCTCGCCCTGTAGCCCTCAAACATCCCGTGCTCTTCCTTTCGTGCGCAACCTTGTCGACGCTTCCTTGTGTCTCCTTTCTCACTCCTTGTGGCTTCGCATCGTTTTTCAATGTTTGTTCCCCCCTGCCACCTTCGCCCCATGTGTGTGTGCGTGCATGTTTGTGTGGCATGTGCGTGCGGAACACGTGGGAGCAGGTTCGCGGTGGTGGTGCGGTTCGTGGTGATGATTCTATTCTTCAAGTTCCGAGTCACCAACCCTAACAACTCCGCCTTCCTGCTCTGGCTCGCCTCCGTCATCTGCGAGATCTGGTCAGTGAATCACACCATGAATTCTCGTCTGCAATATATGTTCGGCAGATTTCAATATTGGTCTCTGCTGTTCCATCGCTTCCGTGCCCTCACTCCTGCCTCCTTTGTTAATCGCATCTGCCTTGAACCTTTCTCCGTTCGTCTTTGGTTTCTCTCTCTTGTTGGTTTCGCCTGGCGCCAGGTTTGGAATCTCCTGGATATTCGACCAGCTGCCCAAGTGGTCGCCCATCACTCGAGAGACCTTCCTCAACCGCCTCTCCCTCAGGTGCCCTTAAATTGGTGGTTGGGAGGTTCATTGCTACCTTCAACGCCGGGCTCTGCACTTGTGCTTGTGCTTTTCATCGCTCCTTTCTTCACCATTCTTTCATGCCTGAACTGTCTTGAGTGACGAGTGGGTGGGGAATATGCTATGCGAGCAGCTGCAGACGGGTGTGTTTATCAGCACCGTTTTTCCTGGAAACGTCCAGTGGCGCTCTAGACGATACCGCAACTGCTCGCATGTGGCCCATCATTCTTGAGCAGCAGTTCCCCTCAATGCTCCCCCCGTTGCCCCTCACCATTCCCTTCCCCTTGCCCCTCGCATTGCCCCCTCCACTCTGCAGTGGACATGGCTGTTCCTCATCCCGCTCACCATCATCATTGTGAATGCATTCGCCATTCTGGCGGGAGTGGCGCACACCATCAACAACTGGCAGTCCACCGACTCCTCTATCAGCGGATATGGCCACCCCATCAAGGCGCCCACCTCCAATGCCGACCAGATTGGTAAGCTTGACCCCTCTAGGCGATTGCCGCTCTTTCATGTGCAGCTTTGGCTCCGTTGCTAGCCCTCTGATGTGCCACTCATGTGTAATCTTGTCTTTTGTGTGCAGGTCAACTTGTCGGCCAAGTGTTCTTCTCTGTCTGGGTTCTTCTGCATCTGTACCCTTTTACAAAGGTGAGGCCGTGAACAAGTATATCTATGTGCTAGTTTACGTCAACAGGCACTGATTGTGGAATTTCATTTGTGGCTGGCAGGGTTTGATGGGTCGAAGCAGCCGCATGCCAACGCTTGTCATTGTCTGGGCGATGCTTCTGGCGATTGTTCTGTCGCTGCTCTGGGCTCGTATCTCAATGACTTGAGATGAGATGCTTCCAAACCAAAGCATTAGTAGCACATGTACTTGTTTTATATTTGAATGTGGAATTCCCTAGAGCACTTCAGTGTGCACTTATTAGCGAACCACTCTGTGACAGCCCTGTTGAGTCCATCGATGTGAGCGACCGTTTTGTGCGTCGCGAAGAATAACGGAAACTCTCCACTCAGTTCGACGAAAGTCGCTCGTTGCCAGTCAGTCGCCAGTGTGCAGTCGACAGTATCCGCCAATCACAGGCTTTGCATAAGCGACCTTTTCGCGGTTTCCTCCTTCCCTCCGGACCGCATTTCTCCTTCCACCTCCAAAGCCGAACCGCACGCGCTGGAATTTCAAATTCCACTCGCAGCAAATTGCCCTCCTCTCCTCAATCTGCACTCTGCGAGTCAGCGCCCCTCAAGCATCCATGCCACCAGAAATGAGAGACCACCCCTGTTCCTTCTCCACTTGTTCCATTTCTTGCCCTTCACTCCCTTTCCCGAAACACACGGCCCCACTTCGGTTGAACGACTCCGTAGCAGCAGATTTCTTGCATCTCTTTAGGGTGAATGTGGCGAAAAGCGAAGCAGTAGCTCCGTCTGAAGCAACTGTTTGAAGCAATCACAAGACACTATCAGTTTTCACTTCGTCTTCAGACGTAGCGTAGCAGGCATCAGCAACGGTATACATTCAGTAATTAGTACCGACGCTTGTTAGCTCGACGAAGAAATCACTAGTAGCACCGCAAGGATCAGCTCAGAAGTAGCCAAGCAACAATCTTCCCATAGCATCTGCGTCACTCTGCCAGCCCGCCATGGACGCGCGTCGCGTGTGCACGAACTTGGCGGCACTGGCGCTCGTGCTGCTCGTCGCGACACCCGATATCATCTCCGAATCGGGCTTCCAGACCACCAGCGCCGTCCCCTACCGCCGCGAGCTAAGGTACTAACCAAGCTGACCGAAATTTCTCCTTTAGCCAAAAGATGGCATAACTTCCAGGTTCGGAGAACCGTAAGAAATCATACTTTTCGTCTTCCTTCAAACTTAAGTTAATCCCACTTCTTCCAATGCGCTCCTCCCGCTCCGCACGTGCAGAAAGCCCCAAGGACCGCTGCAGTACAACGTGCAGGAGACGATGCAGCTGCTGCAGGAATCCGCCTCGCTCGTCAACCGCGCCGCGCACCTTCTGCACGCCGATGCCTCCCCGCTGGCCCCCTCCTTCTGGCTCCGCCCTGCAGCCGTAGCTGCGGACAGCCCCGCCGGGAAGGATGCGCGCGCGGGGGAGGCGCGCGGGGGGCGCAAGTATTACGTGAATCTGGTGCAGACGGCGCGCGCGCTGCAGAACGCAGTGGTGCTGCTGCGGCAGAAGCAGCGGCGGCTGGTGATGGGGCAGATCAACAACGCCATGGCCGCGATTGACGGCGTGAAAGTCGTGCTGGTGCCGCGCGAAGATCGCCAGGTGTTGGAGCATCTCAACGTCGCACGGCGATTCGCAGAGCATGCGAAGCTGTCGTTCATGGGGCAAGAACAGCGAGATTGAGTCGCAGAACCGTCGCACGCCTAGTTTCGTGTGTGCATAGCACGGCATGAAAGAGAGCAGCAGCAGCAGAGGAGACTACCGTATCTCAGGAGCCGTTTAGAAGGAACAGGGACACTCTTTGTGTCTAAAACCGAAGATGTCAATTAACCCTTGCCTGGCTTATTCAGGCACCAATACTAGCAATCCACATTGTTTGTAGCCATTTCTTAGCTTGACATTTGATAGCTGGCTCTGACTCGAGATACCCGGCTTGCCTAACACTGACAATGTTCATTGCATTAAAACGTACGTAGCCTTTACAAAGAGCTTATTGTGGCGCTTGGCGCTAAAAAGCCAGCACCAAGAAAGGACGGATGCTGGGTTGCTCATTCCGCCGCACACCTGCGCTACACTGCACCACTATCTCCTCCTGTCACCCAAACCGCTACACTGCACCGCTATCTCCTCCTGTCACCCAAACCGCTACACTGCACCACTATCTCCTCCTGTCACCCAAACCGCTACACTGTACCGCTATCTCCTCCTGCTGCTCCTCATTGTAGCAAGCCGAGTGAGGCGCCTCTTGTGGTCCTGCTGCTGCACCTCCTGCACCAACTCCACATCTGTGGGCGCCAGATACCGGGTAATGCTGGCTGCTGCAAAGCCAGGCAGCAGGGTTGCCACTGTGGCGAGCAGCACTATGAGGTAATAGGCGGGGCGCGGCAGGAGCATGGGCGCCATGCCGTAGAAAGAGGCGGAGAGCGTGGCGGGCACGTAGCTGACGATGGCGAGGAAGATGAACCAGAGGGCGATGGAGCCCCACACGGCCATGTGGTGCATGAGCGTCCAGTACTGGTGGGGGTGGGAAGGGGGGGGTGGAGGGGTAGTGATTTAGCGGGTGCCGAATGTGGGCAGCGAGTGACTGGGAGAGGAGATGAGGAAGCGAAGTACACAGGCGCTGGCCTTGTCAGGTACGACAAGTGGTGTGAGGCAGTGGGAGTGGGGAGTGGAGAAGAGGCTGGTGCCGTGCTGCAGGTGGCGTGAATGGTGGTGGCGAGGTGACTTGTTCTAAGTCGACATTTGAGTGGAGGGGCACAAGGGGCTGACCTGGTGGTGACATATGAATAGTCCCAAGGGGCTGACCTGGATGGTGACGGCAAGCTCTAGGTTGACTGCGAGCACGAGGGCAGTGAAGAGAATGGAGCCCTGCGCTGTGAGGTCTAGCACGCGCCCGTCGGCCCCGGAGGAGGAGAGCAGCAGCGGCAGGAAGGAGAGCGCGAAGAGAATAGTCGCCTGCACCATGCCCTTGCCCATCGCCATGCCGATCGCCCCCACCGTGAACAGACGGTTGCGCTGGCTCTGGTGGTGGGGAGAGTGAAAGGGGGGTCAAAAGAGAAGAGATCAGTTGGCGTTTGAGAGTTTGCACCAGTCAGACGAGTGGTCATGGGAGGGGTGACAGGGAGCAGGTGGGAGACAAAAGGGCTGGCTTGGGGGGCTCGAGGGTTGAGGGAGAGGGGGGAAAGGGAGAAGGGAGAGGAGAGAAGGTAGAGGAGAGAAGGGAGAGGGGAAGAGCAAGTGGAGACGCGCGCTCACCTGGGCGTAGAGGCGCGGGTATCTGAGGTGGTAGATTGCTTTCACGTCTTGATCGAACGCTCCCACCGCCGCCACGGGCAGCGCTGAAAACAGCACTTGGAACATCACGAGCAGCCAATCAACGTACACCGGGCTGCCCGAAAACATCGCGAGCCCGTTGAAGAAAAATATGGTGAAGGCGAATGTGTGACACTTGTATAGAAAATATTTTATCATGTATGTAATGCGGGTGTAGCTCCACGCGCCGTGCACCAGCAGCAACCGCTCTACAAACCGGAACTGCCCGATTGCAAAATCAGCAGCCATAACCGCCTGCTGTCCCTCCTCCCCCGCAATCCCCACGCCGATATGCGCCTTCTGAATCATCCCCACGTCGTTCGCGCCGTCGCCGATTCCTAGCGTGATCATGCCTCCTTCCGAGCCTACGAGCTCCGTGACTTGCGCCTTCTGCTTCGGCGACACGCGGCAGCAGATCACGGACGCGCACGCGAGCGCGGCGCGGAGGAAGTCGCTGCGCAGGGCGGCGTCCGCCAGCACGTGCGCGAGTGCCTTGCCGTCGATGATCAGCGCGTGCGGCGCGGCAAGAGATGCGCCCGGCGTTGTGGCGGCGGACTTGGCGGAGAGGATCTGCGCGCGGATGGCGCTCGCTGCGAACTGGAAGGGGAGGGTGGGGGAGGAGGGGATGGGGGAGATGTTGGTACATCTCAGCTGCTAGCCACTGAGCTAAAAGGGTGAGAGGATCTGCGCGCGGATGGCGCTCGCTGCGAACTGGAAGGGGAGGGTGGGGGAGGAGGGGATGGGGGAGATGTTGGTACATCTCAGCTGCTAGCCACTGAGCTAAAAGGGTGAGAGGATCTGCGCGCGGATGGCGCTCGCTGCGAACTGGAAGGGGGGAGGGGGGAGGATGGGGCGGATGTTGGTGAAGCTCAGCCGCTAACCACTGAGCTAAAAGGGCTTGTTCCATAGCAGGTGAGCGTGCCTATAACACCCCAAACCATCCTTGCCTGTGACCCTTTCCCAAGTCCTTAGGCCGATCCCAGTGCTCTTTCAAGGAGGGAGTGAGTGGCAGGGGTGAGTGGGTGGGTGGGCAAGTGGCACAGCTAGGCAATGCACCCCACATGCCCATCACTGACACACACACAACACCCCATGCCCTGCCGAGCATCTCACCTCGGCAGGATCGGCACCAGCAGAAGCGGCATCAGCGGCCAGCCTGTCGTTGTCTTCGAGGAACACCACGTGCTGCTGCATGCCCGGGCGCAGCAAGCGGCATGCGAAGCCGATGTTGACGGCCGTCTCAAGCTTGTCCCCTGTCAGCACCCACAGGCGGATGCCCGCTGCTGCCATCGCCTCTATGGCCTGTGGTACCCCCACCTGCCGTGGAAAAGGGTAGTGAGAAGATTGGTGGAAGGGTGGGAGGATGGGTAGGAGAGTTTACTTTGAGGATTCTCAAGAATCGCCTGTCACCTGTCAGCACCCACAGGCGGATGCCCGCTGCTGCCATCGCCTCTATGGCCTGTGGTACCCCCACCTGCCAAGGGAGGCGTTGAGAGTGGTGTGGGAGGTGGGGGATGGTGGAAGGAGAGTGGGAGAGGTTGAATTGGGATTGGGCGAACGGGGAAGAAATGGGAGGGGCAGCGCTGCTGCTGCCAGTACACCACACCAAGCGAACCACACATGCCACCCACACCAAGCGCCCACCTGCAGCTTGTCTTCTATAGCCGTCGCCCCCAGCAGGATGAGTCCCCGCTCCATCTCGTCCGCCAGCCCCTCCAGCTCCGCCACCTGCGCCCTCAACCGCACCTCACTTGTCACCCGCACCCATGTCCTCACCTGCAGCTTGTCTTCGATCGCAGTGGCGCCCAGCAGGATGAGCCCGCGCTCCATCTCGTCCGCCAGCACCTCCAGCTCCGCCGCCTGCGCCGCCACGTCCCCCACGTTGCCCTTGGCGCGCTCCCACCGCGCCTGCCATGCCCCCCAACGCACATGCGATATAAGCACGTGAGACTCTCTCTCATAATAACGCCACTACTTGCTGTGGGATGTGAGTGGTACCATACATGCGCGCTGTGCCATGGGTGATGTGTGTGCATGGCATGTCATGTGCATTGGGAGGTGAATGAGACACATATGCACTTGTGGACCCCTCTCCTCTGCCCCCTCCAAACGCCCAATCCGCACCTGCCAGCTGGCATATTCCTCCTCCCCGATCTCCTTCCAAGCGATTGCCAGCGTGCGCAGCCCCGCTTCCGCGTACGTGCACATGTGCTGCTCCGTGATTGGCCGGTGCCTCTGCGCCTCGACACTGCCGCCCAGGCGGTCCATGATGATATTGTCCGCGCCCTTGCACAAAAGGACAAGATTGCCCTCTGGCGTGCGCACGATCACGCTCATGCGCTTCCTGTATGGGGAGGGAGGGGTATGGTAGGGCCACGGAGAATGGGGATTCGTGAGGGAATGGTACAGGGAATGAATGGCACACACATGCGCACAAGCACTACCTGTGCCGCACACACGCGCTACGCTCCTTTAGTGCCTGTGGCTGCTGAACTCGATGGGCCTGTTTTTGGGTCGACTAAAAAAAGTACCAGTGGCTGGTGAACTCGATGGTGTGCAGCAGCGTGTAGCGCCGCTCGTCCCGCTTTCACGCTCTCCCTGTGGCTGGCACGCGCCACCTGTGGCTTACACACGCACGCGCACGCCCTACCTGTGGCTGGTGAACTCGATGGTGTGCAGCAGCGTGTAGCGCCGCTCGTCGTGCAGCGCCCACCCCTCCGCGAACTCCTGCACGCGCACCTCGCGCCCCTGCCGCCCCGCGAACACCATCCCCATGCGCTTCCCTGCCACCACGAACGCCGCCTCGTCGGGGGACTCCGCCAGGTACCGCACCGCGTCCGGATCCACGCCCACCGATCCTACCCCCGAGACTTCCCCCTCGCCTCCCCCGGTCATGTCGTGATCGCTCCCCTGCTCCGCCCTCATTGCCCCCTGCCTGGCGCCTTCGGATGAACCCAGGGAGTGGAACGAGTCTTGCGCGCTGCGCGCGTCGGCCGTGTGGTAGCTCGACATGCTGCCGCCCAGGCTGCGCATGCTGCCGCCCACGCTAACCATGCCGCCGTCGTCGCGCCACATGGCGGCCTCGTATTCGTCGTCGTCGTCGCTGCTGCTTTCACCGTCGCCTACGTGCCCCGCTGCGCCCGCCTCCCACCCCTCCCCCGCACCACCTCCCGCGCCGCCACCAGCGGCGCCGTCCTCCTTCCCCGCACCTCCCGCCGCATCCGCCGCGTCGCCCGTGTCTGCGATCACGGTGTGGCACACCGACATTACCTCCAAGAACCTCCTAATCTCCGCGGCTGTCGGTTGCGTCCGCCACTTGAGATCGTCCAGCCGGGGGTCCTTCATGTTGTACCCCTTTTCCAGGGGCTTTA